TTGAAGAAGGAGAAGATCTTGATTGTTCCCAAAGGGATGAACACATTGAAGAAGAAGGAAGGGAGGATGAAGAAGAAGGTGAAAGTGGAGTCCAAGATGAGGACAAGGTCGAGGTGGATGAAGCATTCACAAGTTACGAGGGTTGTGAAAGCTTTCCACCCGACCTCGACGCGCTTTTGGAGAAGGACCCATTTGCGGCTCTTTGTTAAGCCAAGGCCAAACCATCGACGATCCCTCTTGGTGGATGTGATGGTGGTAAAGCGATGGTGCATTACATGGTGTGGGGCAAAGAGAATAAGGAAGAAGGAAAGAAGAATAGGTCTTGTGGGTGGAGCCTCATGACAACTCAAGTTCACGAGCCCTCAATCATGGACTCGTCCAAAGCTCGTGACTTGAGACACCACCTCACCGACGAGAACCTCAACTTCAAGGATGTTCTTGGGTGGACCGAAACTTGAAGATCAATTGTCTGGCTCACGACGTTAAAGAAGCGCTTGGTGGAAGGCAACTCATCTACCATAGGTTTCTTTGCTTTCCGCTCCAATAAGTAGACCATTTGAGAGATTTTGGTGGTGTTTTTCCGTCTCCTTGCTCTTCCGGATCTCACCCGACCTCCAATCCCTACCACCAACATTCAAATCGTATCCGGTAACATCGTTCTACCTCCTTACTTTATGCCATTGAGGGCAATGTCAAGCTTAAGTGTTGGGGGGTAGTCTAGTATGCATGTTTGTGTGAATGATTGGTGTGATTTTGAACGCTTCGAACCTCGTTGAATGCCCAAATTTGAAAAAATTTGAGGGCTCCAAGAATAACAACTTCTACATTTGTATGATCATAGTGGCACTTTGTCTGGTTTTGTTTTGAATCTCGTGGGTATTAGCATGATCTATGGATGGTTTGCTTGTGATTATGTGCAACCTATGATGATGATTGATACATGTATTAGGTTTGTGCATAGGTTAATTTCTCATGTGTTTGTGAGCCAATAGATGTTTTGAATCGATTACTTGCTTTTCACAGTTGCATATGCATCGAGTTTAGGGAATTAGAACGAATGATTGAGCACCTAGGTAGCCATGTGAGACTTGTGTCGTTCGTTTCATTCTTGTGTGATAGATCCCCCTTTACATGATGCGTAGCATTCAGGTTGTTGTTACTTGCTAGTAAGTATGATGGAGGCATAGGTTTAGTCCATGACCCAAATGTTGACCGAACCGATCATATCATCCCTTAGTCAACCCCTTTGAGTCGTGTGTCTAAGGGTCGTTCTCGTGTTAGGTAGCTCATGCTACTTGAGCTTGATTGATTTAGATAGAACGACCTACTTTCTTCGTGTCTACACTGTTATCGAGTCACCCTTGTGTTTGGAAGCTCCATTCATACCGCTTGAGCTTAGATGAGGTTCCACATGAGTGATTTGTGTATGGTTTTGCTAAGAATGTGAAGTGAGTGTGGAGGTAGGTTTTAAAGTGAGCATTGTTCCTCAAGTTTAAAAAAAAGTGGCATGTTTTTAGCTATCTATAGCCCCCAGAGAAAAGAGAAAAGAAAAGCAAAAAGAAAAAAAAAGAGATCAATAAGAGGGCAAAGAAGGAAATAGAGTGGCCACCAAAAATATAATAAAATGTTGAACATGGTCTTAGTAGTGTTGCTTAGCATGCAAGCTTTAGGAACACTTACATGTTGTTCTCCTTCCACACTCTTGTGCTTGAAATTGAATAGCAAATGTAGAAAGAAAGATAGTTGTGAATGGGTTGGTGATTGGTTGTGTTTTGGAAGTGTGGGAAGTGTGGTCCTTGGCCGTTGTTAGTGGTCATTGTTTGTTGAGGAAGGTTCTAGATCGAAGCTAAGAACCTTGTACTTTAGTTCTAGGTTGAAATGTGGAACCTTATGCTATGTTTGCCACCACCCGAAAAGCCTTTTCCCCATGTTCTAAACCCTAGCCAGTCATCTGAACCCGTGTCTAAGACCTCCGAACAAGCTAGCAACGACACCCATCTTGTGAATTCTAACATTTAAAGGTTACCGTAATGGTAAAGGAACGTTAGGATTGAGCGTGAATATGCACATTTTTTGCATCAAATGGTTCTGACCCCACTGGCCGAGAGTGAGTGATTCATTCATAATGTTTTGTTCATTTCTTATACCCCGGTGATGACCTAGGTTGCTCGTTCATTCGTTCCTATGATGTGATCTTCATGCATGAGTAACTGTGATTGGTGAGTCGTCGAGGCATGTTGTGTGTTGGTTCGTGAATAATGTAAGAACTCTTCATTTGCACAATCTTAATACAACTGAATGTCGATTGTGGTGGTTGCCAATATTACTTTGTTTTTGTCCATAGGTCGGTGTCAAATAACCATTGTGATTCATTCGTTTTGTGCCCTATGACATGCCTCAAAAATTTTGTTGAAAAAGAGAAGTTGCAAGCTTACCTTGTTTTATACTTGGTTTGATTGGGGACAAGCAAACGTTCAAGTGTGGGGGAGTGATTCGGGTCCAATTGTACACATTTTCCTCTCATATCTTGATCGTTCGGCTTTGCATTTTATCGTCCCTCGACATATTTCACGCTAGGTTGTGCTTGTTTTGATACATTTCAGGTCCTAACACGTGCGGAAGGGTCGAGGATGAGTTTTAGGACGATTGGAGGTCAAAAAGCGCAAAAACCAAAGAAAGGTCCAAAGTAACCGTGACAATTGCCCCGTAATAGTGAAGCGCAAGCTTCCATGAAGCAGCCGCAATTCACGGCCTGGCAATGGAGTTCACGGTCTCTAAGGTTGTGAACAGGAACCACAAACCGTGAACCCAGAAGAGTGAAGTGGTGCGTTTTGGAGACGACACTGAGTTCACAGACGCGTTTAGGTGTTCACGGCCGTGAATTGACCAACGCGGTCGTGAACTGGTCACTTTCGGACAAATATGAAGATAGCAGCGGGGAGAGAAAAAGAGAGCTGGTTTTTGGAGAATGAACACTTTCTTTCTCTAGGGTTTCAACCCAAAACACCAAAGGGGAGTTCTAGTGAGAGAGGGAGTGATCTTGAAGCTTAAGTGAAGGCATTGATCAAGCTTGGAAGCTAGGAATCAAGCCTAGAAGAAGAAGATGAAGATCTAGAGGTTTCTTTGTAATCCCTCATCTCTCTCTCTCTAGAAACTCACCCTCTTCTCTTGGGTTAAGAACCCTAGGTCTAGATTTTGGGTTGTTGTTGATGTATGTGACAACTTACTAGTTTGATTGATGATTTTACTTAATTGATGGATGTTTTCATGAATGGCACTAGTGTGGTTTTCATTTTCATGCTTTGAGCTTTTGACCTAGGAGTGGGATAATCCCCTTGGAGCCCCTTCCTTGGCGTCTTCGGGTCAATCCTATCGTATATTGCGCTGGTAGTCCCCGAGGGAGTTGATTCGACCAATCTCCTAGCATTATACGATACCATAGGTTGAATAAAGCAATACCCATCCACCGATTTGTCGTTCCGGGTCATTCCCGAGGGAGTCCTCCAAACAGTAGAGCATTTGAGTCGATCGAACTAGGAGGATACTCAATATCGATCCAAAGTTCGGAAATAGGGGGATTTAACCCAAGAGAGCTCCAAACCTTGTAAATAGCTAGGTTAGTGGTTAGTCTAGGTTAGTTAGCTTAGTTTTATTAATCACTATCCTAGGATTGGCTAGATAACGAACCCTAAACCTGAAGTAGGGTAAGCCTAGATCCCTGTAGTACGATAAATTCTTATTGCTTGTTTGCCCTATGCTGCACCCGATCGGCGGTTATACTTGGCCGTCGATTGGGATGTTGTAGTTAGAATGAGTCAACCCTTTAACATATTTGTAAATGTATGATTGAATCCATGAATTATTTCATGAGAGCTAGCTCTTTAACACGACGAACTAATCACATTTTACCTCTATATTCGACGAAGTTACTATGAAAGACTATTCACACCTCTAGTCACGTCGTGTGAGTGGTCGCAGCACAGATCACCACTTGTCCACACACTGTAAGTCGGTATTTGCAATGGAGGAGGAGGAAGAATCCCAAACTTCATGTGTGAAGGGTTAGAAGAAAGATTGGGGAAAAGTCAGCAAGGAAGAGGGTTAGAGATTGGAGAAGGAAGATGGGTTGGGTTCATAGGTTTGGTTCGGCAAGATGATATGGCGGGTTGAGTGACGTGACGGGTCTGGTTTTATTATTTTCGGGTTAAATTAGGCTGATTAGATAATTATGTTTGCCACACCAGCACTTAACGAACTTCATTAAAGAAGTTGGACGGAGACTAACGGTGAGTAGGGCTGTTAATGAGCCGAGTCGAGTCGAGCTTTGCTATAGTTCGAGCTCGGCTCGTTAATATATTTCCAGGCTCGAGCTCGGCTCGTGTTCGTCACGAGCTTTAATATGCAAGCTCGAGCTCGGCTCGTTTACGAAAATGAAAGCTCGAGCTCGACTCGAGCTCGGCTCGTCAAGTAAGCTTAACGAGCCCAAAATCGAGTTTGGCTCATAAAATGTTCATGATAGCTCAAGATTGACCTAGAACTGCTCACAAAATTACATTCAACCTGTAGCAAAGTAAAACACAATATTTATCCCAATTTCAATACATAAAATCCATGAATTCTAATTCTTTTTTTATGCCAAACCATTAAATGAGCTTGTTCGCGAGCTTTCGAGCTGAACATGGTATGGCTCGAGTTCGGCTCGTTTAGTTAACGAGTTTGTTCGCGAGCCGGCTCGATTAAAACGAATCGAGTGTCGAACGAGTTTTTCTCGAGTCGCACACCGAGCCGTTCATGAGCGGCTTGGTTCATTAACAGCCCTAACGGTGAGTGACCAAACGTAGACCGTTTTACTAATTTTAGTGACTAACATTAGAATTAAATATTTTCAGTGACTAAACATGATACTTTTTAAGTAAACTTGATGACCAAATGTGTCATTTACCCTTTTTCAAAATTCTTTATCCGAGTACCCGGCGTTTTACTTCTCGTCTCTCCCAAATATGGGAGGTTTGTTTTTTTTTTCTTCATTAACGTTCAAATTCCCGCCTGTCTCACCTCTCATTTTGTTTTGTGTTTTTCCCCCCTTCTCTCGCCATCTTTTCTCTTTTGACCAAAATCATTCTACTCCCCACTCTCGCAGCAGGCACTGCAGGCGTATCCACTGGCTGTCCTCAACGGGCGAAAACAGACGCCATTGCCGTAACTTCGCTCCGATCTCTGCATCTTGCTGCAACACAGCGGCCGAGGCATCGTCGGTTTCTGGCGAATCAAACCCTAGCGGTTTTCACTTCACCGCCCAGCCAAGCATGAACCGTTTCCACATCTACGAAGCTATTGGCCGCGGCAAGTGCTCGGTGAGTCTCCCACACGTAGCTCGTTTGCAAGCTCTCAGAACTTCGATGATCTCTGGTTCTAATTCTTGTTCGGTTACTGCTGCTTTTTTTCCTTTGTCGTTTTTAATGCGCTCCAGACTGTGTATAAAGGGAGGAAGAAGAAGACGATCGAGTACTATGCAATTAAGAGTGTAGATAAATCGCAGAAGAGGAAGGTTCTTCACGAAGTAAGGCTTGGATGATTCCTCCATTTCAGTTCGCGATTCGATCTGTGTGTTTTTTTTAAGATTCCAGCTTGTTACTTCAGTTCTGTATTTACTTTCCTTTCTCTGCAAATTGAGATTGCCTGAGAAGGTTGGTTAGTCAACTAGAGTTCAATCACGAATTTGATACGTTTTGCTCTCAACTTCAGAATGTGAAATTGATTCATCGGTCTGCCGATTGAGTTCGAGATGGCGGTCGTCTTTCTCCATTTGTATTTCTGTTCAGAATTTCGATCTGTACTTTTTTGGTGAATTAAAAGCTGAAAGAAACGTTTTTGTTTTTGTTCTACGGAGAGATATGAGTTCGTGCATTGATTGTGGCTGGTTCGTTTGGTTGCAGGTTAAGATTCTTCACTCTTTGGATCACTCAAACGTGTTGAAGTTTTACTCCTGGTAAGCATGCATTTGAAGAGATAATGCTTGAACTTTTCATCAAAATTTACAGTCCGAGAGGGTTTTATTGAAAATGTCGGGAAACATCGAAAAGGCAACAATTTTTGTTTTTTGTTTTGTTTTAACTCTAGACGTCTTGCATTTGATTTTGTCATGTACACCTTTCGAATTGTAACCTAGCACCCTTAAATTTGGAATAGGTACGAGACTTCTGCTCATTTGTGGTTAGTTTTGGAGTATTGTGTTGGAGGAGATCTCAGGACATTGTTACAGCAGGTATTGTGATGGCTTCCTGTGCACATACCTATGTTTCCTTAACTAACATTTTTAGTATTTCTGCTCGAAAACATTCGGGAATGTTAATATGATGTGCTGAAATCGGAGCATATGGATCGCAGGATAGTCAGCTACCAGAAGACTCAGTTCAGGATTTCGCACTTGACTTGGTGACAGCCTTGCAGTAAGATGTGCTCGACTGGTTTGCAATTTGAGTAATTTGTATGTTTCTCTTTGTGGGACTTTATGCAAGCTATTTAACTGGTGCCAGGTATTTACACTCAAAGGGGATCATCTATTGTGATTTAAAACCATCTAACATCCTCTTGGATGAAAATGGACTCTTAAAGGTGATCATGGATTTTGCCTTTCTTCTCTGTTGAATTATTGTCTCTGCTTTTACCATGCGCCTGACTTACACTTTAATGGTTTTAAATTTTAATGCAGCTTTGTGACTTTGGATTGGCAAAGAAGCTAAGTGATATATCTAAAACACACTCTTCGGTATGTGATTGAGATTAATGCGTTGGGTTTTCAACTTTGTTTTTCTTATGACGTTGAGATTGTAACCTTCCTTTTATATACATGTTTAGTCAACAGAAGCCAAATGTGGAACGCCCTGTTACATGGCTCCTGAGCTGTTCGAGGATGCAGGTGTCCATTCCTATGCTTCTGATTTTTGGGCCCTTGGTTGTGTGCTATATGAGTGCTATGCAGGGAAACCTCCTTTTGTGGGAAAAGAGTTCACCCAGCTAGTGAAGTCCATTGTCTCAGATCCAACTCCACCACTTCCTGGCAATCCAAGTAGACCCTTTGCGAACTTGGTCAACTCTCTCTTGGTCAAGGATCCTGCTGAAAGGATTCAGTGGAGTGAGCTCTGTGGGCATGCTTTTTGGAAAAGCAAACTTCCTCTGATGTCATTACCACCACAACCTGCTTTTGATAGCATGATTGAATTTTATGCTAGGCCATGCCTGTCAGAACACAACGGAGACAGATCTCTTCAAAACAAAACCCCCACGGAAGGTCGTGAAAGAGATGCAAGAGTAACTCCAAGAAAAGATGAGAATTCACAGTCGGGATTAAGAGGTTTTGAGACCCCAGTCAAGGGAACACCTGGCAGCAAAAGACCACAAACAAAGGCCTCCGGCAGAGCAGTTGAGGAGAAGCAGAAAGATAATTCTTCTGCTAATAGACGCATTAATCTGTTAAGGTTATCAAGAGTAGCAAAGACAAATTTGCAGAGGGAGAATGAGAAGGAAAACTTCAGGAGGCCCTTGGCTAATGCCTCTGAGAACGATTCAGAGATTAAAATGGAGAACACAGATATGGAGCTTGATTTCAATGAGAACACAGAAGATGACACACAAGATGAACCCGAAGGGTGTGACAATTCAATTTGTACGCCTGGAAGGGTTGATAACCATGTTCAGCCAATGGACATTTCTCCTGTAACCAGCACCCCTGCGTTAGATGATCAAGGAACAAATGACTTAGAATCACCATCCGAGACTGCTGACATGGGAGGTGATACTCCAGTCAGTGCCAGTCCTCAGCCTAAACATCAGAGAGTTAAAGAAGGTTTGGGGTCAGCACATGAATTTGACTCCTCAAAGTCTTCTAATAACATCTCCGAAGTACTTTGGCATCCATCTGATCTTTCAGTGAGACCTGTGATGCCCAGCAGAAAAGGGGATAAGACACATGAGGCACCTCCTTCTCTTCCTTTTGAGGCATTGCAGCCAACTGAATTGTTGAAGATGACCAAAGAGCAGCTTCATTCAGTCAATGCAAAAATTGTATCAATATTTAATGGCAACACCAGTGTTGGGGAGAAACAGAATGCAATTAGATACCTTGAGATGTTGAGCAACAATGCTGAGATAGCTAACATCTTCACTAATGGACCAGTGATGCTCATACTCGTTAAAATGCTTCGGTTGTCCAAGGCTTCAACATTACGAGTGCAACTTGCATCACTAATTGGCTTGTTAATTCGTCATGCTACGTTTATCGATGATGATCTGGCAAATTCTGGTATATTAAGTTCCCTTACAGATGGCCTCAGGGACAGGCAGGAAAAAGTAAGGAGATTCTCGATGGCTGCTTTAGGTGAGTTACTGTTTTACATAGCCACCCAGAATGATCAATCTAAGGACAATAATCCATCTGAATCTCAGGCAAAAGACAACAGTAAATCAGTTCCTGGCTGGCAGGTTAGATTAGCATCTCTGATTTATGAACTCATTTTTATTAGCTTACACTGTGCCAAGTACATTTCTTAAGAGTTCATTAATTGAATCGTCCAGTCCTGGAGATATGCATAGTTCATTCTGTTAAGTATGTTTCTTCACGCATCTCTATTTAAAAGTCATTTTCATTAGTTTACATTGTCTGTATTATATTTCTTAAGAACTCTTTGAGTTGGCGCCTGAAGAAATAGTTGTATGTTGAGTTCTTCTCATATGCATACCAGCTTTGTCCTTCTCTGATCAAAACAATTATCCATGAGGCAGGTTCCGAACTCGCTCATCTCAATGGTATCCTCAGTTCTACGTAAAGGAGAGGATGATATAACTCAGCTTTATGCCCTGAGAACAATAGAAAATGTATGCAGTCAAGGGGGTCATTGGGCTACACGATTCACTAGTCAAGACGTGATCAGTAACCTATGTTACATATACCGTGCACCAGGAAAACAGGAGAGCATGAGGATGACTGCCGGTTCATGTCTGGCTCGACTTGCCCGGTTCAATCCTTCTAGCATCCAATCAGTCATGGAGAAACTATCCTTCAAGGAGGCAGCAGCTTCAATTATCAAAGGCAATGCTCGTGAACAGCAGATAAGTTTGAACCTCCTAAACATGGCCATGCTCGGAAGTCATTTGTTCACAAACATTGGAAGGCATCTTCTGCCTCTCGTTGAAGATAAAAATCTCGTGCCCTCTCTTGTTTCTCTTGCCGAGCAGGGTAGTGAAATCTTGAAAGGGAAGGCACTAGTTCTCATTGCACTTCTCTGCAAGAATGGTAGGAGGTGGCTCACACACTTCTTCTGCAACGACAGGCTACTGTCTTCTGTGGACAGGCTGGCCAAAGAGAAAGATGGCTTCCTCCAGCAATGTCTTGATGCATTTTTGCATGTTTTTTCATCAATTGTACCTAGCTTGTTGGATTTGATTGCCGGAGATATCCAGCAAATGATCGGAGGAAGACGGCATGGCCAGATATCTGGCACTCCAAGTCGGGTTGCTTCTAAGACCAGCGTACACTTCTTCCCGTTTGTCCTTCGACTTCTTGGAAGTTTGTCCTTGAAGCTTAGGGTGGTGAACAGCCATGTGCTGCAACAGCTGGCCACCCTATTAAAACTTATGGAGACTTCATTTCAGGTAAGATTCTGAAGCTAACCTACTTGTGATGTTCGTTTTCCTTTTTGTCAAAAGATAGCTTGCATTACCTAGAATGTCAACAACCATAAACAACCGAACTTCTGATGTTTACCCAGCTGGTTTTTACGTATCCGATTCATGTGGAGTATGCTCTCTCTTTACCTTCAGGATCGTTTGTATGTGGAAATCAGTGGAATATGTCTAACATTTTATTGATTGCTATAGTAACGGTGTATGAAAATTCCATCTTTTGCATTGCATTGTTGTGGAATGTGGATTTTTCAGAGAATCTCATAATCTCCTCATTGCAAGTGATTTGAGATCTCAGAAGATAACTGGTAGAGATGTGTCGATTCCATGTTATGTTACCCAACTTTTTGCATGCCTACCAAGGATTGTTGACATCAGAGGAATGCTCTTTTACGTTTACTTCTGTTCTCCTCATACTTTGTAACTTGATTGACGTCAAAATAAGGTCGCGTGTGTGGCTAACTAATCTGTTCTGTTTCGTTCATTTCAGGGGAGAGATGACTTCCAAATCACGCTTCTTCAAGTTCTCGAATCCATTGTAGAGGAGTCTCCTCTGACCTTAGCAAACCCTCAAATCTTCGTCGGTGAAATCCTCCCCAGCCTGGCTACTCTGTACAAGGGCAACAAAGACGGCCACGTCAGATTCCTCTGCCTGAAAATCCTATTCCACGTCATGGTCATCTTCTTAAACGAACTATCCCAAGACGATAAACTCTCCAAAGCTCTGAACTCCATAGCCAATGTCCACTTCCTACCACTCTACCCCACTCTCGTCGAAGACGAGGACCCAATCCCGATCTTCTCCCAGAAGCTGCTCGTCATGCTCATCGACTTCAACTTCATCAAAATCTCCGACATCCTACACGTGAAAACAGTCTCCCAGTGCTTCGGGTTCCTGCTCGGAGACCTCTCCAGCGCAAACGTCAGCAACGTCAAGCTGTGTCTAGCCATGGCCTCCGCCCCCGAAATGGAATCCAAACTTCTCTCTCAGCTCAAAGTAGTTCGAAGAATTAGCAATCTCCTGGAATTCGTCTGCGCCAAAGACATGGAAGATTTCCTCGAGCCAACTCTCGGCCTCTGCAGAGCCTTCCTTCTCCGCTCACTCACCGGCGAACAGGGGTCCGCTTTCAGAACCCAACCCTCGCTCTTAACCCCCGCCGGTGGGTTTTCTTCCGGCGGCTCCGTGGACGGAATACGAGACGTGATGGACTTCGGCAGCAATGTCGGTCTGTGGTTGGAACTCAGTTGCAACTCGTCGACGGAGCCGAACGTGGCCGAGTTAGCTTCCGAATGCGTTGTCTTGTTACTGAAGGCAGCTCCAAGGGAAGCCACAACTGGGTTTCTAACCAACCTGCCCAAGGTCAGCACAATCCTCGAGCCATGGCGCAGGGGAGTCCCGTGCCTGATTCTACTCCGGACGCTGCATGCTCTTTGCTATGCTTGCCGGCAGTACTTATCTCATGCAATGATACTGTCGATGTCAGTCGCTGAGGTTTCGAGGGTACAGGGGATAGTTATGGAGATCAAGGGTTCCGCCGGCGGCGATCTCTCCGACGCTGCTTCGCTTGTTGGGTTAGAGTTGCAGCGGCTGCCTCGGCACCTTTGATGTACTGCTGAAGGTTTTTCTTTACTGTCAATTCGTGTTTTCACTACTGCATCCTTTTCAGTTATTTACTCGTCTCTTTCTTTTCTCTTCCAGATGCGGTATTATTGGCGAAGGGTTCAATCATTGGTGTATTATATATCTGCAGATCCAGGTGAGTTCCAACTGTTGGGAATGGTGTCATTTTGGCCTCTTGTTGTATGATAATTGTATTCCCTGAAAAGTGTACAATTTATTTATTACCTTTTACCTTAATTTTTTTCGCTTTTTCGCAGTGCTTTCTATCTTTTCTACTTTATACCTCTTTGTTTGGGTTCTTTTGTCTTCTGGAATTGATTCGCCTTAGGCTTTAGCAGCAGTACCTACATGAATTCAATGCATAACATCTAGATTTACTGGAGTCCCTCTTTCAGATCTCTCATGAACTAATTATTCATTGTCCCACAGTTTCACTGACTTCACTAACCAGTAAGATAGGGCTGAACTCTAAAGCCATAGATCTATGCTTTTTGGTTATCTTCTTCCAGGTGCTCACATACAATGCAGTCAAAAGCGCGAGTTTACCTAAAAGCGGGAAAAGAGTAAAATCGTAAAGCGTAGAGTCAAAGCGTAAAAGCGTAAGTTTTTTACGCATACTGAAAAATAACTAAAAATTTATTAAGTTGGACATAAACTATGCAAAATATGAATGCACGGAATTTAGATAAGTTAATAAATACATGCGATTCATGCCTAAAGTAGAACAACTTATAGCATCTTAATAATAAGTTCGTAACCATAAATTTTAACAATAAGCCACTTTTCCTTCTATGCTAATGAATTTGGGAAAAGTCTAACTGGTGAATTAGATTACTCTATTGAAGTTGAGAATGCATCCAAGTACCTGATATGTATATTCTAATCTCAAATGTATCATATTGTTGGTGATTTACTTTTAAAATATACTTTTTATAATTAATTTCATGAAAAGAATACTCATTTAGTGAACTAAAAGCGTAAAAACATAAAGCGTTTTGGTGAACTAGAAGCGTAAAACCGTAAGCTTTTAAGTTTTAAAGCGCAATTTAGTCCGGTTTTATACACTTAAGTTTTTATATGAAAACGAAAGCGTTTTGGTGATCTAAAAGCGTAAAATCGTAAGTTTTTAAGTTTTAAATCGCGATTTTGACTGCATTGCTCACATACACAAGTGTCGTGCTGCTGTAATAACCCGACTATGATGCTCACAACCATTATGTAAAAACGTGCTTACAGGCGCACAGAGCTGATGAATCGATGCAATGACAGTTACCGAGTTGATTCAATGAGCGCTATACGTCCACACACGATTCAACGGTCTCACATAATGGCTGTGAGCATTTTAGCAAAATTGCTGCTATAAGGTATCTATTATCAGATTCCTTGAACTCTTAGTAACTTCTGCAATTTTTTTTTATCTTTAGGAGCTTTGAAGTACTCTATAAACCATCATCCTAGGATGAACGGAATCTTAGCTTCAAACAAACATATCATATCAAAACAAAAACCCCAACCCAATCTTTGTTTGTTTCCTCAACATGCCAACCTTGCAAATTTTCCATCATTGCCCACTCATCACATGCTTGATCCCACCTTTGAAAAAAAGGTCTCCAATCAAACCCCCCATTTTCCCCCCTTCTATTCTTTAACAAAAGCCACCCTACCAAAAGGCTCCTCTCCACTGTCCCCCAACTCTGCCTTTGCTCCTTTTAAAGTGAGAGTTGCTTTCCATCATTAGACCCCAAAAAAACCCACAAAAAAATGGCTTCTTCTTCTTCATCTTCTTCCTTTTCGCTCCTCTCGATACTCATGATTTCAGCAACCATCCTCTTCTTCCCTTCTCTCACTACTTCTCAACCTTCCATCATCATCCCAGCTTCTCCAGCACTCCCAGAAAACTCCCCTCCCCTCTCCCCTTACGAAGAGCTCTCCCCTGACATTGCTCCGTTGCTGCCCACCCCCGGCGGCGAATTGCCGTCGCCGTCGGTGGCTTCCATCCCCACCATTCCTTCCAACCCAAGCACTCCTAACCCGGACGAGTTCGCCGCCGCACAAGGCCCCGCCGCCGCCGCTTACGGCCCTTCTTTCTCACCACTCGGCTCTCTCCCAGTTTCCTCTGCATTTTCTCACAACTCTCCTTACTTAGCACTCTCTGTACTCTGCTCTGCAATTTTCTCTATACAGCTGCTAAAAACGTGGAGCTCTTGATTCTTGAGCATCCCCGCTTAGTTTCCTTGTTCATGGTTCAGTCACGAGTGTGTTTTACTGTAAGTAAAGTTATTTCAGTGTTAGTGGTTTCGGTGCAACTCTGTAGATGCTCTTAATATTGTCGTTTATCTTTAATGGTGTCGTCGTTTTGCGGATGCAATGTGTTCAAAATTGCAATTGAAAGAGGTGAGAGCGTGGGCACATGGTGCTTGTGCTTGCTCTATGACACAGTATGGGAAGCCAGGTCAGGTTGTTTTGTTTGTATTGGGTAAATAATACATATCCCCACATGTGATTTGAGGCACAAACCAACAAGATCTTGGATTAGGTGGGAGGTGGGAAGGAGGGAACATTTCGGTTGAAAACATCTGCCATCTTCTGCTTTGGTTGAGTGATGGGGTAATATAATAGTTGTCGTTTGGGTAAGTCTTGGATCTAGGTTTTGTCAGCAGCTTGTGTCATCATTAGGAAGCTTTTCTTCAAGCTTTGTATGATTGAGAGTCTAATAATTGGCCTGAGAGATTTCTAATAAGTGGATCTAAACAATATACTTGGGAACTTTGATATTAATTACCTATATATGCAGAATTGCACAGTATCGATGGTCCGACCGAAAAAACTATCTATCGAAGTTCAAGTTGATAGGTGGTTTTAGCGTATGAAATTGTAAAATCAATGTTTCAGCACAAAATATGTTACCGGTAACTGTTTAAGTACAATCTTCGATGCGAAGAATTGTAAGACTTGAATTGAATATTTAATGAGGAAGAAAATTGTTTCTCTGGGTGCCCTATTCAACGGAGATAACCTCGTAGGCATGAGCTGGTTATCCATGATACACAAAAGATGCATTAAAAAGGTTAATTAAGTTATATCTAAAATGATCAATTACTTCTTGCGAATATGGCTAAGAGAAGTTCGTGGATCCCATGAATTTATTCTTGCTAAATCCATCAAGCAAACGACGGATTGTGTACATTAATGATGCTTGGTTTTTACGTAATAAATTCATGACCAAAATTGCTTTAGAAAAAAAAATTATAATGTAAAAATAAATATGCTCAGTAAGGGCACAAAAGTAAATTTCTAATACAACCACAAATATAACAATGCCAAATCCATCATGGAAACTTCTTTTGACCCCCCAGTCTACTCACTACAACAAATTCGGCCTATTATGACGCGTCCATTTGGTCATATTAGATACCTATTTTGTCATATTTGATCTTATATGACAAATGCTTTTGTCACAAGGATTTGCCATTTTATCGCCGTCAAGATAGGTCAAATGTAACAAATTGTTGAACAACATTTGTCACATATGGTTTCGGCATATATGAGGTTCTGGGTGGTCTATTGTGACAAACAGAGAAATTATGACGAATATGTTTGTCATTATATTTGTCATAAATTGTTAATGTTTAGAAAAGTGTTTGTCATATTAGACGATCATAGTTTGTCATAACATGATTTTGTGACGAACAAAGTTTGCCATAAAAGGTTAGTAATTTGTCCCACGCCTATAATGACAAAATATTTATTTGTCAGGATATGTTTAAAATGTGACAAATGGATCTATTATGACAACATGTTGTGTCATTAATTTTGTCATATTACTGGCTTTGTACTCTTACATCCCACTGTTGTGACTAATTGATTTTGTCATAATTTATATTGTGACGAATATCCTTTGTCGTAACTGCGTCTATGACAAATCAATTTTGTCATTTCTGTACATTAGGACGAACGGATTTGGTCATAACTTATAATTGTGACGGGGCGGTTTTGTCGTAATTGCGTTTTATGACAAGTATAGCTCGTCAAGAAAGCTGGTTTAATTGACTTCTGTGTAATATGACAAAGTGACAATTTGTCATGGACTTTACATAATATGACAACTTTCCAGTGTTGTCACATTTGCCCTGCTTTACAAAATCCATAATGCGATAGTGCATTCTGCCTTGCAATGAAAATATTTCCAACCATCCAAAACAGTACATCCATTTCCATCCCCATAACAGTCTACCTCCTTGTTCAACATAAACAAACATTCTAAGTTCCACCATGACACAACACATGAAACTCCTTGTTCACCGGTACACAAACCACGGTAACTTTGTTCACAAAAACAGAAACTAACATACTTCTAACATCAACAAATAGCTTGCAGTCTCATCTGGGTCTGCAAACCGAGGCAGTGTTGTTACCTTGGACTTGGCAGTTTATTTGCGGGGTAGTTGGTGAGCAATCACTAGCACTTGATGCTGTAACTTTTCCTGGGCAGCTTTCATTTGGTTCATCACCTCTTCTTGAGTCTCAAACCTCTCCTCCTGGCTCTGTAACTTTTCTTCCTGGAGTTGTATCTTCTCGGCCTGGCTTTTTAGCTGCTCTTCTTGACTTTGTATCTTCTCCTCAAACTCCTTAGCCTTTCTCTCTGCTTCAGCTCTTGCTGCCACCAATTCCGCTTGGAGTTGTTGCTCCTTTGCTGATCTTGGGTTCTCCTTGGGTCCATACTTCAGCTTCTTCTTCAGGACCGTCTGAACAAAATCGCGGCCTGATACAGGCTTCCCCTCTGCCTTTGCTTCTATCCAAAGGGACTGGATCTCCAGCTGCACATTGAACAAAAAGTGTTAATGAAACAGGTGACACGGTTGGCTATGAACTTCTGACAATGAAACAATGCAAGTGATATGGTCGGACTCACATAGTTTTTCATAGGTTCCTCCGATACCCAACTACCGTCAGCCTTCTGATACCTCTTTGCATAGAGAAGCAGATCTAGTGGCTCCTCCTCTACGGTCTCACCGTCCTCCATTTCTGTTGGCTGCTCCTCTCCAGCAGGCTGCTCCTGCTCCTGCTGCTTCTGCTTCTGCTTCTTCTTCTTCTCCTACACAAAGTAGTTACATTGAGGCAGATTTTAATCACATAACTATACCGTATAAATGTTCCATGGAATTGTAGACATCTTACCAATTCATATATTCTTTGATCAAGAGATTTTGCACCAGAAGTGTGTGCATACACTTGCTTACTCTTGTTGACTATATTAATTTCACTTCGCTTCTGCATACGACAAATTTAATTAATAAGCAACCTTTGATTGTAAGACAAGGTAACAAAGGAAATTTATGATGAAACAGTTGGAGTTACTCACTCGAAACTTTTCACTCTCAAAGTGATCACACAGCAGATGCCAGTCCTCTATATTCATGTCAACAGGAGGGTCTGTCCTGCCTTTCTCAGGGTCTTTCAAGTAGTGAGCATGCATCACATACTTGTAATTGATGAACCGCTTCTTCATTCTCTTCTCCATAATCTTCCTTGCATCTTCACCTGCTGTGTCTATGTCAAATTCATCCTACATGAAAAAACAATTATATAGTTCATATACGAACATATTATAACACATTTCTAAAAAGATATACAACTTGCATTTTATACTTATCTAAAAAGAATTACAACTAGCTTCACATCAAACTAGCAGTACTGGAAAATTACCTCTAGCTTCTTGAATAACGGGTGCTTGTCTGCTTCAGTCAATTTGGACAAGTAGTACTTCCTTATCGGGGCCATCAGGCGTGTTACGACGCCCAACTCTGTCTTCAGCAAGCTCTCATTTGGCCCTACGAATGACTGCCCATTTTCCATTACGTAAATTCCATCTATCTTTCCTCCAATTCCGGTTCTCTTCATTATCTCATACCTTTTGGATAGTCCCCTCTTTTTTGTCGCAAAGGGTGGTTCTAATCCATTTTCGATCCATGTTTATGCTCGTCAAGTGTCCATCCGTCCTTATTCCATTCTTCTTGTCACCCACATTGAACCACTCGCACTTGAATATAAAGACCCGATGCCCTCCAGAATATTGCAGCTTAATTATCTCCATCAGAACCCCGTAATACTCTATAGTCTCGCCATTGTGCTCGCCCCTAACCATGACACCACTATTCTGAGTTCGATGACCTTCATCAGACATGTATATTTGGTATCGAACCCCGTTAATGATGAGTCCAGGATATCTAGTAATCCTTTCATCAGCCCCTAATCCTAGGACATATAAATGGCCAGTCTCTTTAAGCGTGCCAACCAAAAACTTTTCGGAGACCTAAAACGAAATGAAAGAGGCCAAAAATTTAAGAAAATGATGATGTGAGTAAGACAAAGAAAAAAGAATGGAAAAGGTTGGCGCTTACAAATGTTTTAAACCAAGATGGGAAGTGAGCTGCAATGGTTGCTGGGGTACTATTTAGATAACTCAAGAATCTCTCCTCCGTATACACACTGTAATGGCACTTATTAAGTACAAAAAAAGAAGAAGACAAAACTAACTGGGGTTTAGAAACAAAACAGAAATCTGAACACAAAGAAGAAGAAAAAAAACTTACTTCAATTGGTCTTCAATTTCATCACAATTAGTGAAGACATACCATTGGATCTTATGGAACTCAGCCTGACCTATAGGCTCATAGTTAGCAGCTCCTATAGATCTACCTTGACGACGGAAAACATCAAACCCATTATAATCTACATCGTCCAACCCATCATCATTTCTTGTCTAGCCTACTTGCTCGGGTCTCAACACCTTTAAGATATCTAGAACAGAAATCTGAACACTCTTTCGCTATATACCTTTCGGCAATGGATCCCTCGGCACGAGCCTTATTAGAAACATATGATTTAAGAGTTCCTAAGAACCTAGTAAAATTACCAAAAAAAAAAAAGAATACAAAAGTTAGCTACGTTATATAAAGGATCCGAAGCAGTTAAAAATTTAATGGGTTCGACTCGGTGTGTCCCTCTCCATTGGGTACATCCAGCGGTACTGCACCGGTCCCCCAAGCTCAATTTCGCGGGGAAGGTGAATAGGCAGATGCATCATCACGACGAAGAAAGCTGATGGATACAACATTTCCAAGTTACAAAGTATAACTGGGATGTTATCCGTGAGTTTTCTGACAGTGGAAATGGTTGTCGTTCTTGAACCCAACTCATGAAAGAACTCACTAAGTTGAGAGAATATATTATAGACTTCTTTGCTCAGGAATCCTTGTGCGGCAGCAGGCAGTAGGCGTTGGATGAAGACATGGTGATCATGGCTTTTCATTCCAGTGACTGACCTACCATCAGTAGTCACACACCGGGATATATTAGATGCATAAGCATTTGGGAACTTTATCGACCTCAACCAGTCACAAAACGACCTTCGTTGTGCGGTTTTTAAGGTGTATAAAGCAGGAGGCATTTTATACTTATCACCGTCTCTCACTAGATGTAGCTCTTTCCTAATACGCATGTCTTCCAAATCACGTCTAGCATTGGCTGTATCTTTGGTCTTTCCCTCGATATTTAGCAGCGTAGCTATCACATTCTCACTAATGTTTTTTTCAACATGCATTACATTTAAGTTATGCCTCAACTCTATAGTTTTCCAATATGGCAAACTCCAAAATGAAGCTTTTATTTTCCAGTTATGCACATTATCATCAGAACAACCCCTTTTCCTTTTCCCACCCTCATTGACTACCACATCATATTGAAAAACCTTCTCAATTTGCTGCAAAAGTTCATCTCCAGATAACACTCTTGGTTTGCCTCTAAGTTCATGCTTCCCATCAAATTTACGGCTTTTTCTCCACCTATGGTCACTTGGCAGCCATCTTCGATGCCCCATGTAACACTCTTTATTACTGGCATGTAAACGTTCGGAGCATGTCCCAATATTACAGACAGGACAGGCTAATCTCCCCTTTGTACCCCAGCCCGATAGCATGCCATATGCTGGGAAATCATTTATTGTCCATAACAACGCAACATGTAAACGAAATGTTTCGTTTGAGTGTGCGTCATACGTACTGACACGATCCTCCCATAACTCTCAACATTTCTATTAGGGGCTCTAAGTACACATGTATGT